TATGAATTGCCTGTTGTAGTTATTTCATATAATGAAATCACACAATATTGGTCCTTTTGTGTCTGGCTTATTTCACTTAGTATAATGTTTTCAAGGATCATCCATGTTGTAGTGTGTATCAGAACTTCATTCTTTTTATATGGTTGAATAATATTCCATTATGTGTTTTTGTCTGTATCTATTATATGTATGTATATAACACAAAATGTGATACATATGTATATTTTGTTTATCCATTCATCTGTCAACGAACATGGGTTATTTCTACCTTTTATCTCTTGTAAATAATGCTGCAATGAACATTGGCATACAAGTATCTGTTGGAGTCCCTGTTTTCAAATCTTTTGAATATATAACTGGGAATGGAATTGCTGGGTCATTCTGTGTTTAACTTTTTGAGGAGCTTCCAAACTGCTTTCCAAAGCAGCTGCACAATTTTGCATTCCCACCAGCAGTGCATGAGCGTTCTGATTTCTCCACATCCTCACCGACACTTGCTATATGTCTTTTGACTGAAGCCACCCTAGTGGATGTGAAGTAATATCTCACTGTGGTTTTGATTTACATTTCCCTGATGGCTAGCAACGTCGAGCATCTTTTCATGTGCTCATCGGCCACCTGTACGTCATCTTTGGAGAAATGCCTATTCAGATGTTTGTCCATTTTCAAATTGATCATCATTATCTAGTTGTGTAAGCTTTTTATAGATTCTTGATACAGAAGATTATATTCTCTGGGCCCATCCCTACAACTTTTTTCCAAGGACTGCTCTTGGGCCGTGGGGACCCTGCTTTGTGCCACATGATTTTGCAGAGAGCCGGAAGTGCCTCAGAAGTGTAAAATACCCTCCAGAAATCCCCATGGGATCAGGCAGGGCTGAGACTTGGTAAATTGCACCATAGCTTCCCTGCCTTCCCTGTCCGGCCTCCTTTCCTGGTTTCTTTTGTGATTGCCTCTTCAGTGAAGAAGCAATTCAGATGCAATTCACCTGCATCTGAATCCTCATTGCCAAGTCAGCTTCTGAGGAACTCGACCTCAGAAAGAGCTCGGAATGGCTGAGGAGCTGAAAGCGAGTTAGTGTTGCTGGAACTCAGAAAACATGGGGATTGGGGCGAGGCTAACGTGGAGTGCAGAGGCTGACCACACAGGGCTTTGTCGATCAAAGGGAGGGTTGGGTTTTTTTTTTTCATCTGGAGAGTTATGAGATGCTATTGGTCAGTATTAAGCGGGACTGACAGTATTTTACATTTTGCAAAGGCCCCTCTAGTTTCTGTGTGGAGAACAGATAAAGGGGATCCAAGTGGCTGCAGGAAGACCACTGAGGATACTGTCATAGTTGTCTAGGGGAGAGAGGGCAGAGGTTGGAGTAAGGATGGGGAAGGTAGAGAGAGAAATAGAAGATTAGAGAGAGATCAGGGGCGCAGATTCAGGGGTCAAAGGGAGGTTCAAGAACAACTTGCAGGCTTCCAGCCTAGGTGCCTGGATGGACAGTCAGTGCATAGGAGGGAGGCAGGACTGGGAGGGCAGACCAGGAGTTCCACATGCAAAACAACACCAATTTGCCTTCCTTGATCTGGCCTAGTCTTTCCATTTCACAGACAGGGAAAGTGAGGCCTGAGGAGTGCATTGGCTCACCCAGCGACCCCCACCACACCCCAGGCAGAGAGGAATGGCACCCCAGGGGTCCCGCTGCCTGGCCAGACACTTATTCTTCAGGGGGTTCACTGGCTCCGGCCTCAGACAGCTATTCTTCAGCTGGGAGAGGGTGGGGCTTGGGGCCAGATGGATTTTTCCTGGGCTGGAGGCCAGTTCACAATCCCTGGAGAATAGAACATGCTTCGTGAGGTCAGACTGTACCCGAGCCCCAGCCAGCTGTTCCACTGGGAGCTGGGTAACTAGAAAGCACAAGGTGTGGGGGACCCTCCTCACAGTGGCCTACACAATGGAGATTCGTCCACTCTCCTGACTTTGGCATTGATCCACAACCAGGTCCAGAGGCTGAGGTCTCCCCTTCGTGACCCTTTTCCTGGTTGTATGACTTTGGGAAAGTCACCTCCCCTCTCCAGGCTTCACTCTTCTTATCTGTAAAATGGGGACATCCCAGAGTATGACATCTGTGCCCCTCAGGGTTGTAGTAAGTATCAGGTGAGGAAAGGGAGGGACAAACAAGTGCTTTGTAACGTGCAAAGTGCCTAGATTTCGGTGTGGGCTCGGTCCTACCTCTGCCCCAGCAGACTTTCGAAGCTTTGCTCCTTCACAAGATGCTGACTCCTCCGGGGGGAAGAAAGGCCTGGTGTGGAACTCGGGCACGCAGAGATTTTCTCCTGACCCAGCAGGCTTGACAAGTCCACTGCAGAGATGGGAAAACTGAGAGGCACCCATCTACTCAGAGGCACTAGGCTGGGAAGCCTGGATTCAAAGGCAGGGCTCTCTGATTCCCAAGGTGAGAAAGATCCTTATCCACTCCATGCGCCCATTGGACAGATGGGGCAAACTGAGCACTAGCGAGGGGAAACGGCCTGCCTGGGGTCACCAGGCTGTTAGCAACAGGGCAGAAATGGCACCTGAGGTCCCTGACTCCAGGCTCTGCTCCTGCCGCCCCTTGCCTACCAAGCCCTTGAGCTTGAAAACAGGGTTCCCATCACAGTGGGGTATTCACAGTCACATCACCGGCAGGCTTGGGGTTCCTTGTAAGCCCATCTTCTTCCACCAGGGCAGGATGCAAATTTTGTTTAAAAATCCCATGGGCGGGGCCCCATGGCCTCTGCCTCCTCAGCTCGGCCTCTCGAGGGCTGAGGATTTGCTGATTCAAAGCTATGTCGTCACCTGTTGGGGATCTCTGGGGCGAGGCCATGCCATCCCCCCACCGTGGGCAGGTCTGAGCAAAAGCCACTAAATTAGGCCCAAGTCGAGTCCAGCTCTGTCCCACAGTGTGACACTTGGTGACCTCTCTGAGTCTCAGTTTCCTCCTCAGTAAAATGGGATGGAATTAATACCAGCTTCATAGAGTTGTGAAAAACCAACAAGCTTCTAAAGGATTTAGTACGAAGCTAGGCACAAAGACAATGCAAAAGAAACGAGAGCTATTATTATTCACTATTTTCGTATATTGTTATTATTATATTTCATTTTTATATCCCCTTCTCCCCCAGGGGATGCTGTGAGTAGACAGAATGTTGGGGTACAGCTCCTTTTGGAGACAAAGGGATGCACAAGGTGACCTTGGGGACCCCTTCTGCCCAAGGATTCTTGGATCACTCGGCCCCACCACAGCCTCCCTTCTCCCTAGCAGCAGCTGCGGTCTCTCACAAGTCGCTTTCCATCCTTGCACCCCAGGTTCCCTGGCTCCCTGCTTGTGGTCCCCACTGGCTGGATGCTGTTGCTATGGCAACAGCATTTTAAGAGCCTTCGGCCCCCCTCTGAGGCGACAGGCATGGATGGAGATGGGCTGATCAAACACCTCATGCATCCTTAGGCCTGTCTGAATGGAAGGCGGGGGAGTGGAGCGAGACTCAGAGCTGGCCCGGGATGGGGATGGGGGCGGCTCAGGCCCAGCCCCCACCTCGCTGAGTCACACAGGGGAACACCTGAGCAGTTGGCCACAAATGCAAGTTCTGGCCAGCCCACGAGTCTGATCTTAATTGTCTGGGGTGGGATCCCCTGGGAAGCCGCCTTTTGATCAGCTCTGCTGGCAGCTCTGAGGCAGGCAGACCCTAGAGCACACTTGGGGAAATCTTGAGTCTTGGAAGATTCCGGGAGCCATCTTGGGCACTGAGTGTGTAACTCTGCTGCTCCAGGCCGGCCTCTCTCCCCTTCCACAGCCTCACGGTGGAGGACATGTGTCCCCAGCCCCCTCCCTGAGCCAGCAGACTTCTGGGCTAGGGTACCAGGAGGCCGTCTTGGTCACGCATCCTGAATCAGAAGGTGGCAAACTCAGCACAGTGACGCTCAGGGGAGGCACTGGCAGGGGCTGCTCTGGGCCTTGTGGAAGGCGGGGCTGCCTCTGGACACTCAGAGAGGCTTCGTCCCACTGTCCCCCGCCACCTGCTGAATGAGGACGGTGCTCGCTCCCCTCACTTGACCCCAGCCACCCACAGAACCTCATCGGCGCTGGGCGCCAGAGGCTGTGCCTACGGAGAGCTGGGGCTGGGGGACGGTGAAGGAGACGGGAACCTCAGAGCGGGAGAAGGTTCTCTCTGGAGAACAAGGACAAGATTCTGCAGGGTTCCTTGAATTTGAGAATGACGGCCCACGCCCGCTGCAGGGGCCGGGTTTGGCAGAGTGCAGCACACACGCCCTCGCCCTCCTGTGCACACGAACCTGGGCCTGTGGACAAACACCCCGGCTCCCTCGCCCCTTGGGTGCGGTAACTCTGGGGCGTGTCCTCCTGTTCTGTGCTGCCTCCCGGTCCCCAGCAGGGTGGAGCTCCAGTTGCCCCCACGGAAATTTGCTTGACAACGTATTTATTCCGTCCCCAGAGTCACCTCCCTACCCCCTTGCAGTGGTTCCCGGGATCTCCACCAAATACACTTTACACCCGAACCCTTGTCCCAGGGTCTGTTTCTGTGGAGCCCGAAGACAGGGGGCCACTCCTGAATCTCCCCACCCACGGACTCTGTGTGACAGCAACTTGGGCCCAAAGGGAAGCCATGCGCTTTCCTGAACCCCAGCAGGGTGTCTGGCCTGCCCGAGAGGGAGACCTCCGGCAGGGCCGTACCACCAGGTCTTTCCTCGGTGAGGCCCCGGAGCACGGAGCGATGGCCTGCTTACTGTGTCCCGGCTCTGGCCCCCACTCACACTATTCTGCATGTGTGAGAGTCTGGTCTTCCGGTTTTCTGGAACCCAGAGCAGGTCCCTGGTTCTCACCCTCCCAGCACAGGCAAAATGTAAATCCTGTGCTCCATAGTGACATCTCGGCGGGACTGGCCCCGGCTCCCAGCTCCCCGGAGGCTGGCACAGTTGAAGGGGGCTCCCAGCTAGAGGGGTACATGGGGACTTGTCTAGGGTGAGTCCTCCAGAGATGTCTGTGAGTCTGTCCCCTCTGAGGAGAAGCTGCCTCCAGTGGGGTGAGGGGCCAGGCTCTGCCTGGGAGGCCGCTGCCAGGAGAAGAGGGTGACAAGAGAACGCTCAGGGCCAGGATCAGGGAGCGCGTGGTGGCCTGGGCCTTCAGCGGCCTCTATAGCCTGGCCAGCTTCCCGGAAATGTCCTTTCTGCCCCGCTTTGGTGGCCTGAGGAGGCCAACAGGACTTTGGCAAACGGTTTGCACCCGGAGAGTCCTGCAGGGGCAGGTCCTGCCTCCCCTTGGAAAGGACTTCTCCATCCAGACCCTGGCCCTTGGCAGCTGCCCCTCTTGGCTCCGGGTGTGCCCAGCGGGCAGCAGGAGCCGCCGGGCACGGGCAGCGGCTCAGTGCCTTCTGCAGGAGGGTCTGGATCTCCTCGTGTCTGACCCGGGCCTCCTCCCACAGGTCCTGGCCCAGGCCTGGCCGGCTCAGGGAGGCCGCCTGCAGCCCCATGGCCGCAAGCTTCTCAGCAGGGAACTCAGACGCCAGTCGCTGCAGGTAGCGGCAGAGGCGACGCTCGTCCCCAGGGCTGGCCCTTCGGCCCTTGCCCAGCCTGAGCTGGGTCATCAGGTCCTGACAGTCCATGTGGAACCAGGTCATCTGGGGGACAAGAAGAGAGGGAGGAGGGGGCTCAGGCCGGGAGTGGAATGGTGAGGGCTCCATGAAGACAAGGATGTGCCTCTTGGAGTAAAGAGAGGCCTCGATGAGTAAGCGTGGCCGGGCCGAGGTGGAAGTGCCCAGTCAACGTGCGGGCCCCACTCAGCTTGGCCGCCATGTTCTCCGCTGACTACGATGACAAGGATTCCCTTCTCTCCCTGGGGTACATGCACCTGCCACTTGGAAGCAGCACCCAGCACCCTAAGCCTCTTCAGGCACCTTCTAATAGACCTGTGGGCCAGTCAGGACTTGCCCCTCTCTGGGGCTCAAGTTTCTTCTTCTGTGGAGTGGACGTTGCATCGATGATCATGAAATGCCTTTTGAGAGCCGAAAATGTGGCTCTGTGAATTGTGTTCACCCCTACAAGTGGTGCTTAGTCTGGCTAATATTTACTGAGTGCTGACTGTTTGCCAGGCTCTGTGTGTCTCGTGTACAGTCACACCAAGCTGTGCCGGTGTGCCCATTTTACAGAGGAGGAAACTGAGGCTCAGAGAAGTGAAATCGCTTGCCTCAGGTCACGCAGCAAGTCAGGGAGGCGCTGGGATTCCGCCTTGGGTCTATCCTGCTTCAGGGCAAGTGTCCTCCAGGCACAAGAAGGAGAAGCTGGCCCAGACAGGGGAGTGTCACAGAGCAGTGGCACAGTCGGCTGTGCCAGGCCCGGAGCCCCTCCTACTCCCGCCGGGCCTCTGCCCCATTGTGTGATTCTGCCTGTCCCCACTTCCCCCACAAAATGTCTGCAGACGGCAAAGGAGCCAGCGTGTTCCCAGCAGCTCGTGGAAAACATAATCCTTCTCTCCATTAATTTAGACCCGACAGTGAGCTGTTAGGCTGTGGGAATCGGAGAGCCATTTTCTCCGAAGAGACCGTCTTTCCATGGATTAAGGGAACTTGTCTTTAGATAAATGGCTTCATATTCGCGGAAGCACACGGAGCTCATGGCAGGGAAAGGGCTCCATAAATCTCCGTTAGCGGCACGATCGTGTTATTATTATTTAGTAGCAAACTGCTGCACCCATGCTCCCCACCCGGGATTCGGCCCAGCCCCGGGCTGTCCTGCGTGTCTGTCTGTCTGTCTGTCTGGGACTCGACCTTACAGGCCAGGCTGGACAAAGATGGACAGCAGCTCAGAAATCATCTTGCCCAGCCCCTCGTACAGATTGAAATTCAGAGCCACAGAGGAGTTGGCCGGGGAGGGACTCAAAGTCAGGGCCGCCACCTCCTGCTGTGTGATTTCTAGGCCAGGGACAGACACCACCTGCAGACAGGTCACCCCCAGCCTGCCCCCATATCTCCTCTTTCCCTCCACTCACGAGGCCGGTCATCCACAGCGCTCTTTGAGCCCCACGTGCCTGCCCTGCAGATGGAGCCAGGGCCAGCTCAGACCCCGTCCCTGCCTCGGGGAGCTCACCTCACAGGTGATGTGCAGGAGACAAGCAAGTGACAAGCATCAGGATGATTTCAGATCACTGTGAACATCACGAAGTGAGAAAGCAGGGAAGGGAGAGAGAACCGGGTGCATGGCCAAGCCCGCGGGAAGGGCCTCTGTGAGGAGGGGACGTGGGAGCCCAGAGCAGAGGAAACCGCCGTACAAGGGGAAGAGCCTCCCAGCCTGAGGGATCGGCAAATGCAAAGGCCTCAGAGCTGGTGCAAGTTTGGTTGATCGAGGGAAGGCCAGTGGGGCTGAAATTGGCTGAAAGCAAAGGAAAGAAGCTTCCGGATGCCTTAACTGTTGAGGCATTACTCCTCCTCTTCCTCTGCCTAATGATAATGATAATATTTGTGTTAATAATAATTCCAGGCTGGGCGCAGTGGCTCGCGCATGTAATCCCAGTACTTTGGGAGGCCGAGGTGGGAGGATTGCTTGAAGCCAGCAGTTTGAGACCAGCCTGGACAACATAGCAAGACCCCGTCTCTACAAAAAATTTAAGAATTAGCTGTGGGGTGGGTAGTGATGGCACATGCCTTTAGTCCCAGCTCTGTGGGAGGCTGAGCAGGAGGATTGCTTGAGCCCAGACTTAGAGGCTGCAGTGAGCTGTGATCGCAACACTGCACTCCAGCCCGAACACAGTGAAATCCTGTCTCAAAATAATAATAATAATAACAATGATAATTCCAAATTTGAGCAAAGCCCTGAACGAGGGGTTACTTCCATTTAATTTAATTCTCTCACTACCTGGCAAGGCTGGCACTAGAGCCAGATGATCTGAGTTTGAACCTCAGCTCTGCCACTCTGCTAGCTATGTGACCCTGGGCGAGTTACCTGACCTCTCTGTTTCTTCATGTGGAAATGGGCATCATCATAGCACCTGCCTTATAGGATTGGTGTGACGATGAAACGACATGTGAAATGACTAGAACAGGGCCTGGGACACAATAAGACTTACAGAACCATTAACTCTTATTATAGTGAGCTCTGTGGTCATGATCACGTGGTCACGCAGGCACACGAGGCCCCTGACTATATGTCTCGGATTCCGCCCTTATCTTGCTCCTGACTCCATACAGCCGGGACTGGGGGATCCCTTTGCTGCCACTGCTGACATCTGCCTCCCTTGTCTGCTGCCCCAAGGAGACAGAGAGTGTGCTGTCCTCCCCGGGCCCCAGCCGTGAGCTGACCGGAGTCCTTCCTGCTGCCTTTTGGGGCTTCCTGTGTTCTCTGTCGCCTGCGTGCTGGGCCGGCCTGACAGCTGGGAGTCAGGGGTCAGGCTCGACTCACGCTCTGTCCTTAGTGCCGAGTGTGAGGGGCAGCCGAAGGCGCTGGGCGTGAGCCAGCCATGTGGGTCTCTGTCCCAGCTGGGTCACACTCTCCCAGGCTGCTCCCTTGTCCCTGTAGGCCTCAGTTTCCCCCATTAGAAAAATGAGGTGTTTGGCTTGGTGGATTTGGAAAGTGTAGGGGCTCTTACATCAAATCCTGCTTGACCACTGACCCTCTGGGCAACCTTGAGCAAGTCACTTCCCTCTCTGGGCCTCAGCTTGCTCGTGCTGGTGCCCTTGCTCACACAGACGCGGTGAGGACGAAAGCAGGTAAGGTGTGTGAACCCCGCAGGAGGGTCTGGCACGGAGCACACACTCGGTAACGTGGGCTGCCCTCCTGACAACCTAAGCGTCATCTTCAGCGTCATCCCGCCTGCTGGATAAGGGCGTCTGTCGCCATCGCCTCCTCCTTTGGAGAAGGACACACTGTGTTCAAATCCCAGCTCTCCCCCTTCCCACTGCTCTCGCCTCTTCACGGGACTCTGGGGAATGAATCGTGCAAAGAGCCCAGTGCTGTGTCCAGGCCACTCTCTGTCCCCACTCCACCTCCAGCCAAGGGATAGAGGGGTCTGTGCGAGTGGGCCACAGGGCTCACCTTCTTGCAGAAGCGGTGCAGGTGGAGCAGCGTCTCGAGGTCCGTGCGCTGCCGCTCGGCCGCCATGTAGAAGTGGGTCAGCTTAGCCTGGAAGGCCCTCTGGGTAGAGGCGAAGGCTGCCAGCTCCGGGGGCGCTGCTCCTCCTACCTCCCCGGCCCCTCCGGCTGCAGCTCCCAGCTGGGCCGCCTGCTTGGACAGCTCCAGGCCTCGGCGGTACTGGGCCTGGGAGGGGAGGGGAGGGCCGTCCACTGAGCTCCCACCTTGGCTGGGGCCTCCCTCAGAGCTCAGGAACCTCCCGCTGCCCTCCTGCTGAGACTTCCTGAGCCTCAGTTTCCTCATCTGCAAAATGGGGACCCTACGAGTACCCACCTCCCAGGACTTAGCTCGTGGTGAGGGTTTAACAAATATTACGGCCGTGGCAGTTCACTTTGCCCAGGTGGACTCTGCTTCGGTGTCACTTCCTTCTGGAAGGTGTCCCTGGCCCCAAAGTCTGGGTGAGAGGCCCCTGCTCTGAGTCCCCACAGGTCTCCCTCTCCACTTCCCTGGCCTGGGAATTTCCTGAACCCCAGGGTCCCCCACACCCCATGCAGCTTCCCCGCCCTGCTGTCCGAGGCTGACTTAGTAAGTCTAGGGAGAGGCCCTGGAATCTGAATTGCAAGAAATCCTCTGGGAATTCTGAATCTTTTTGGACCTCACTCTGGGAGGGCTTCCTGGAGGAGACAACACCTCAGCAGAGCCCTTGTGGTCCACGCTGATCTCCTCGCTGTCTCTTTAAGTTTCCTTGCACTTTCCCACCTCCACATCTGTGCCCTGGCTGTGCCTCCCCTCCAGTGCCCTCGCCATCTGCGCCAGTCCTGCTCCTCGGGCTTCCGGAACGCACCGCAGCCCGAAGGAAGAAGTCCTCGAACTCCACGTGGGCTTTCTCCACCGCGTCCAGACTCCCGTCCGTGGGGGTCAGCGCCTGCAGGCACCGGCTTCCTTCCTGCTCCATCCAGTCTCCGACCTGGGGAAGGGAGGGAGGTTCGGACACAGGTGCTGCTGGGGAGATGCCCCTTTGCCAGCCCCCCAAGCCCCGCTTCCTTGGAGGCTGAGGTCTCTGTCCTTGGTCATTCAGGCCTGGACCACTGGCCTGGACTGAAACCTGGGGAGGATGAGTGCGGGGTCTCGGTGTTAAATATCCGAAGGAGAAAGGACCCCAGCGGGCATGTGGCCTGGTCGGCGCCCTACGCATAGTAGGTCCTCGGTGCGCACTGTTGTCTGAATGGAGCCACAGGGTGGCAAACCACTCAGCGCCACCCATCACAAAAGGGACGGCCTTGAGAATCGCTTGAGCCCAGGAGTTCGAGCCTGCAGTGAGCTGTGATGACGCCACTGCACTCCAGCCTGGGTGACAGAGCAAGACTCTGTCTCAAAAAAAGGGGGGTGGGCGGCCTCAGGGGTGACAAGCTCCCTGTTAGGGCCTGGGGGTGTGCAAACAGTCTGGAGAAAAAGCTGCAGGCGGGACAGGAAGGCTGGCGGGCCCACTGCGAACTCACTGGGCCTGCATTTGCTCAGTGGCAAGATGGAGTGGACATGAAGATTCGGGGGACAGGGGGTGTCAAATGGCTCAGTCCCACAAGCGAATGTCCTCCTCTTATTCTGGGGTGTCTTAAAGAGCACATGTTAACTCACTCCATGCTCACAGAGCCCAGTGTAGCAGGTACTAATATTACCCCCATTCAACAAATGAGGAAACTGAGGCACTGCATAGTTAATTTGCCTCGCCCCACACCTTCGGTGAATGCTGGAGCCGGGACTGCCACCCGGCTGTGCGCTATGCTCCAGGGCCTCAGGCACAAAGGGATACATCAGCAGTCAGACAACGCGGTGCCAGGTGTGAGTTCCAGGATCAGATCCCCAGGTATGCAATCAATGGGCAGGCGACATAACATCTCCCAGCCTCGGTTTTCTCATCTGTGCAGTGGGTGAAATCCTAACGCCTGTCCCACAACGCCGGTAACGGATGAAGTTGGAGAGCAATGATGTTCTTAAAGGCTGTGGCCCAGGGCTTGGCACACAGTTGGTGCTCAATAAGTACAGCTTCATAAGCGTAGCTCACCCATTAAGTACTTACTGAGTGCCATGTCACGTGCTGTGCCCCAAGGATGCCTGCTTGGCCCTTGAAGCAATGCCAGGCTATGTCCTTCCACCTGGCCAGGGAGTGGAGAGGCAGCCAGGCAGAGCCCCATGTCCCAGGCCTCCCCTCTCACCTGGTGGATGGCGGCTTCCAGGTGGCCCAGACGGACGCGAAGCTCCAGCTTCCCCAGGAGGTTGTTGGATGCAGTGACCAGGACATGAAGCTGCTCATCCACGAGGCTGTACAGGGCGGTGGCTTCAGCCAGATGGCTCCTGGGAAGAGTAGGAGGCTGAGAAAAGGCCTGTGATGCCCTCCTCACCCCCCTGTACCCCTGCCCAGCAGGGGCCTGCCCCCCAGCTCTGTGGCCCCAGCCTGGGTTTCCAGCTGCTGACTTGGGCAGGTCCCTGCACATCTCTGGGCCTCAGCCTTGGCCTTCCGTGGGACTAGGAGGAGCAGGGGACGTGGCAGGAAGTGAAATGACCCTCCCTCTTTCCTAGGAGGATGTGAAGCCAGCTTGGACAGATCTGGGTTCAAATCCCAGCCCCGCTGCCTTCTAGTATGAGACTTTGTGCAAATTTCTCAACCTCTCTGTGTCTCTGTTTTTCCATCTATAAAGTCGGGATAATAACAAAACCCACTTCACAGAGCAGTTGTGAGGATTCGATGATATGACACCGTGGCTCTCAACCCTGGCTACACATTAGAATCTGACCTGGGAACTTTTAAAAATCTCAATGCCCTTACCAAGTGGCAAGTCGGTACAAAAAAAAAACCCTCAATGCCCAGGCCCTACCCCAGGCCAACTAAGTCAGACTCCCTGAGCGGAGCCAGACACCAGACGCTGGTGCCTTCTGAAACCCCTCTCTCATGCACGCGAAACTCTCCACACGTGCCCAGCACACGATGTTCGCAGCGCTCTCTCTTCCCAGTGCAGTGATGGTGAGTAGCTGCCACACACCCCTCCACCCCAAGCCTCCATTTTGCAGATGGGAAAACTGAGGTCCTGGGAGAGGAAATGACTTCGGATGGCAGTTTGAGCTGGAACCCAGTCCAGGGTTGTTTCTGCACGGAATTTTTAAAAATGGCCAAAGCCACAAGACACACAGGAAAGGGTGTGGATGGGATTTCCAGGCCCGGCCATACTAGCGTGAAGGGAGGATCTCAAATTCCACCCCACCCTCCCTCTGCCCTGGAGGAAAATGAAAAGGAGGATGGAGAAAAGCTTGCTTTCCCGGAGGGCGCCCCGCTCTGCCTGGGCCTCCCCGGCTGACTGCAGCTCCTCACAGGTCGCCACCCTTCCAGGAAGGGGTGAGGGCTCGGGATGCGTAAATGGGATGGAAAATGCCAGCCCACCTGGTGGTGGGGGGCACGGAGGGAGCGGAGCAGGCAGGGGCTGCGGGCCGTGCGCAGAACAAACACAGACAGCGGCTCTTGTGGGCCCACAGTGCCCCCTGGTGGAGCTGGAGGGAACTAAGGTGGACCAGAGGAGCCTGGGCCGCAGGTGAGGCACAGGGGCAGGCTGGGAAAGACGGTGCCAGCCCCACCCCGCACTGCAAGGGGAAGGGGGATGACCCCCCACATCCTCTGCTGTCAGTGCTCCCACCGCGTGAACCTGTCCCTGAGTCTAGTGATGCAGCTCAGGGTGGCATGTTCAAGGTTCTGGGGCCAGACTGCCTGGGTTCAAGTCCTGGCCCCAGCACACTCCAGCTGTGTGACCCTGGGCTAGTCACTTGCCCTCTCCTTGTGCCTCAAGCTCTGCCACTATAAAATAAGGATAATACCAGAGTCTACCTCGGGAGTGGGAATTAAGTGAGTTAATATTTGCAAAGCCCTAGAGCGATGCTGTATACATACTAAGTGCTATTTAGGTGTTGCTTCAATAAACAAATTGTTCTTAAAAGCTTATGCAAACTTTGCATTTGGCTCCTGAATATAAGTAGCTGTGTTCTAACAGAGAGAAAATATTTTCAATTACTGACCAATTTAATGACTGACTTTCCCCCACCCCCTAAATTTATGAAGTCGGTGCTTTCCCGGAATGCCCATTACTTACTCTGTGGCTCTGAGACCCCTGACACACGGCAAGGTTCTCCCAGCAAGACTGAGAGCCCCTGGGAAGGCAGGGCCACGGGGGTGGCATGCTCAGATGGCCTGGCTTCAAGTCCCCAGCTGGCCATGGCCCAGAGGTTATTTCACTTCACCGAGCCTCAGGTACCCAGCAGCCAGTGAGCGCGATGTGGTTCTCACTTGGCTCTTGCCAGAATAAATAAGACAGGCCCTTGAAGCAGCTCACCCGGCGTGCGGGCCAGAGAAAGCACTTGGTCCGTGAGGGTGACCAGAAATGCGCAGTGCTGGAGAGGGCTGGGGCTGAGGGAGGGGCGGCAGGGAAGAGATGAGGAACTTGCCAAGGCTGAAGGGGGGTGCACGTGAGTAGGCCTCAGTCTGGGATACAGGCCCTGCACACGCCACGATGTGTCCCCCTTGCTGGGGTGGCCACAGCCTCTAGCTCCCTGGCCAGAGAACAGGATGGGAGTCAGGCAGGAAAGGCCTGGATGTCCGTACCTGACATCAGGGTTGAAGTCCAGCCTGCTGGCCTCGCGCCGCAGCCTGGCCAGGGTGGCTCCGCCTTCCCGCTGGAGGCTTAGTAGGCCGGGGTCCCTCAGCACAGCCTCCATCAGCTCCTTGGACTTGCTTAGGCACCTGGTAGCCTCCTGCCAGCACAGAGAGGCAGGCCCTGAGGCCCCATCCCCACTCTCCCTCTGCAACCTTCTAGGGCTCCCCACATCCAGATCAAGCTTGACACCCCCAGTTTGGCATTCAAGGTGCTCCCGAAAGTCTGTCCTTTCTGTCTCTGCAACATCTCCTAGAGCCACTCCCTCTCTTATCACCATGGCAACCTCACTGGTCCAGGCTCCATCATCTCTTACTGGAACACCCAGCTCAGCCTCTTCACTCATCTCCTTGCTGCCCTCTGGCTCCCCCTACAGTCTGTTCTCCACATGGCAGCTGAACGGATCTCAAAGTGCAAATAGGATCATCCCCCGGTTGGAGAGAGTGCAGTGGCTTCCCTGCCCACTTAGAATCAAAATCCAGCCCAAATCCTCCTTGATCTGACTCCTGCGGGATCTAGATGACCCTCTAGTGCTCCTCTCCTTCTCCTTCCATACTACTCATTCTGCTCCACATTGACCTTGCTATTCCTGAACACCCCAAGCATAATCCCACCTCAGGGCCTTTGCACATATTTGCCCTCTGCCTGGAGCACAGACCCCCTCAAAGTCATGCTCCTTCTCAAACTTCAGGCCTCAACTTAAACGCCATCTCTTCAGAGAGGCCTCCCTCCTTTCCCATTATTCTCAATCTTACTTCCATGGCATTTGGCACGATTTGTAACTACATATCCATTTCTTTGTTTACTTTTTAAATGACTGCATCTGCCACTGCACCGTGAGCCCCACGAGGGCAGGGACAAGTCAGATGCCCCAGGCTGGGTCTCCAGTGCAGGACACACAGTAGCTGTCCCCAAAATATTAGTCACATGAATGAATGAAAAACGAGGATGATGACACACACCCCTGGCTGTCCCCTTGACCACATTCTCGGTCCATGGAGTCTGGAGTGTGGTGTGGCTTCCCCACCCCATGCTCCAAGCTCACCTGGATCCCCCCAGGGGGGTCAGCCTTCTCAAACTCCTCGATGGAAGCCTGTAGCAGAGAGGAGGCTTGGCGGAGGTCAGCAAGGAAAGGGTCCAACTTCTGCAGGACAGAGGCCAGAGCGAGGGTGTCAGCCCGGGCCAGTGCCTCCCCCACCCAGGAGGACACAGGGTGGGTGTAAGGCGGTGGTTCTCAAACTTCAGCTGCATCCGAATCAGCTGGTTAAAACACAGACTTGTAGGCCCTACTCCTGAGTTTTGGATTCAGTTCCTCCAGGGCGGGGCATAAGAATGTGCATGTCTTACCAGTTCCCAGGTGTTGCTGTTGCTGCTGGCCTGGGGGACCACACTTTGGGAACCACTGGTGTTGGGAATGAGAGAGGGAGAAGAAAGAAGACAGGCCCGAGCTACTCCCAAAGCTGATGGGGACACAGTAGGGGGAAGGGAAGGAAGGGAAGGGACAGGTTGGGCTTGGGGGACATCCTCTGCTGGGTCCCACTTCAGCCCAGCTCCATCACTTACAAGCTGTGAGAACTTGGGCAAGTTACTTAACTTCTCTGTGCCTCTGCTTCCTCCTCTGTAAAATGGGGGTCACAGTAGTTCCTGCCTTATAGGGTTGTGCGAGGATTAAACAGATTAATTTGCACAAGACACTCAGAATAGAGCCCAGCATGTATAACACTGTTAGTCGCCATCATTGTCAGTTTCATTTTCTGGGTCTATAGGTAAGATTTCATTTAAAGGAGAGGTTCTAAAGCAAAACTATATCGAGCAATCCCACTACTGGGTATCTACCCAAAGAAGTCATCATATCAAAAGATACCTGCACTTACATGTTTATTGTAGCACGATTCACAATATCAAAGATGTGGAACCAACTTAAGTGTCCACCAACGACTGCACACTCGCTGGTCACTCATCCTGATGAGTGGATAAAGACAATGTGGCGTATATACATATATACACCATGGAGTACTACTCAGCCATCAGAAAGAATGAAATGATGTCTTTTGCAGCAACCTGGATGGAACTGGAGGCCTCTATCCTCAGTGAAGCATCTCGGGAATGGAAGACCAAATACTACACGTTCTCACTTGAAAGTGGGAGCTAAGCTATGGGTGAGCGTGGCCATATGAGTGGAATAATAGACATGGGAGACTCCAAAGGTGGGAGGGGGCAGGAGAGGAAAAATGACCTATTGGGTACAATGTACACTGTCTGGGTAAGGGGTACACTAGAAGCCCGGACTTCACTACTACTCAGTATATCCGTGTAACAAAACAGGATTTGCAGCCCCTAAATATATTGAAATAATTTTTTTAAAAATAAAGTTAAAATCCAGTTCAGAAGCCACTGGATTAATGGGAGGCCTCTAGAGAGGGAAACTGGGAGGATAGGGGTCAAGTAGGAAGGGAGACTTTTCAGCATATACCCTTTGGTACCATTGGAGATTTGAATACATTGCCTATTCAAAAGCACAATTTTAAAAAGATCGTGTAGGCAAAAAGCAAATAAACCACCCCGTTAGACTGTTAGCATGGGCCTGTGGTTCTACGCAAAGGGTGACTTTGCCCCCCAGAGACTTTTGGCAATGTCGGGAGACATTTGTGGTTGTCATTTGTGGGGTGCTGTCACAGAGTGGGTAGAGGCCGGGGATGTGCTAAACACGCTACAGGCACGAGACAGCTCCCACCAGAAAGGAATTACCAGCCCCAAAATGTGAACAGGTTGAGGTTGAGCAACCCTGGTCCAGCGAGAACCCTGGGCCGGCATTCGTGGGCACTGGCTTCAGTGTGGTTCAAGCCTATAATCTTCTGTGTGCTGTTGTGCAGGTCAACCCTGTCCTGTGTGTCCCCACGTGTTAAACTGGGCATAAAATGTCCCATCTCCGGGTTGTGGTGAGGAGGGATTGTGACCACGCAGGAGAGGAGCCCAGCACTGACAGTTTCCTTATTTCCTCCCTCTTACCCAGGGGGAGCACATCTGCCTCTCCCGCCAGCCCCCGAGCTCCCCTGCTGTGCGGGTTCACGGAGCAGATGCCTGTAAGTTTACTGTCAGTGAATATACACATAGTTCTTAGCATGTCCCAGATACTCTTCTAAGTTCTTCACCCTCATTAACTCAATTAATCCTTACAAAAAGCCCATGAAGAGGTACTATTATCACCCCCCAACTTGCTGCAAAGAAAACCAAGGCTCAGAGAAGGTAAGTAACTTACCCAAGGTCACCCCACAGAGCTGGGATAGAAACCCACACAGTCCGACCTCAGAGCCTGAGCTTGTAATCATCCCACTCTGTACCTTCATTGTATTAGTAAACCTTTGCTGAATGTTTGTTTTTGAACCTGGCAGGTTGATGGGTCCATGGGGCAGGACAGGGAAGGCAGGAAGGGAAGTGAGGGTCAGGGGTCATAGGCCGTGACGGTAGACACCTGGAAGAATTGCACCCACTCGCTGTGGCAGTAGGGGAAGGGGCCTTCCAGGCTTGCGGGGAGCTGGCCGGGGTCCACGTAGTGGCTGAGGGCCTTCAACGAGGTCAGCACCTCCACCTGCAGACAAAAGAAGTAAATCAAGAGGACCAGGGACTCAGTGTGGGGACAGAGATTGAGAGGGTCCTTCTGAGATCCCTGCTCTAGTCCCTTTCCACCCCCCACAAGCAAGGCTGACCCTGGCTTTAAGAGTTGCTTTGTGAACAACCAATCTTCTGTGGAAGCTCCAACAAATCAAAATGCAGAACCAGGCCCTGGTTAAGGAATGGCATATAAACAGCACTCGTACTGCCACGCTTCCAGCCTGTGCCCAAGGCAGGCATCACTAATCAATCATAGCACTTGTGCCCCCTGAGCTTGGCTCTTTCCCAGCATAGCTCTCCAGGTGATCACACACACTGATTGAAGCTGGCCCTTGTGATGAAACTTCTTTGTCCTCCTTGCGCTGTTCTCTGGTGATCCACCAAGGGCTGTCCCCTTCTTGGGGCTGATGAGAAAAGTCATCAAATCCTAACTGTGTCCTCTAAGACACGGAAGAGGAACTAGGTGACTGCTTCTCCCAGGTAGTGAAGTTCGAGGTTAATTCTGGGAATAGCTTCAGATACCTAGGCGTGGGATCGAATGGATTCTGTGGTTTTATGGACCCATTTGTTGTCCCTGCTATGGGCCAGCAGCACCAGCAGCACCTAGGAACATGTTAGAAATGCAGAATCCCAGGCCCAGAACACTTAATCAGAACCTGCACTTTGATGAGCTCCCCACAAGATTCATGGGCACATTAAAGTTTGAAAAGCACATCTCTAGCTCACAATGTGCCTCTTCACTAACCAGGAGGAAGAGGGAGAGCTTTTAGATCACTTCCCGAAGCAGGGCAGAGGGCTGGGCGCCCACGCTCATTATCGTGGTATATGGCACTAATTAAAGGCAGCCGCAGGGCCCTTTCCTGCAACGTCACGAATCAACTCTGCATCTGTATTAATTAGGGAGAGAAATACAGGAAGAGCAGGTCCAGCCACAGTATAGAAAAGGCACTGGGCTGCAAGTCAGGTGACTCCAGCTCTGTGTCTGGCTTGCCGTGTGGCCTTAGGCCTCAGTTTCCCCGTCTGAAAAGAAAGGGGGAGGGGGTTGACTGGATGAAGCTTTTCAAACAGGTTTCATGCCATGTGCAACTCTCGATCGTGGGGCAGCACCCACCAGGAGCTGCCAGGATTGCCAGGGAGAAATCATTCTGAGACTGGCGCGACGATGCCTGCCACGGAGCAGGACCGCGGAACTGTAGCGCCCGGGTCTCATATTTATGGCCCTACACGAGATTATTTCAAAGGCTCTTCTAGCTCATGAATGCTGCAATTCTTCCTCCCTTCGCCCCGGCTCAGCTCAAGCCCAGCAGCTCCCCTCCTCAACGGCAGACCTGCCTCCCCTCACCTGGATGTCGGGGAGAGCCTGCAGTCGCAGAGCAGCCTCCTTCTCCCCCAGGAAGAGCACAGCTCCCACGGAGGCCGGGACCCGAGCCTGTCAAAGAGAGCCACTTCAGAGTTGCCGGCCAAGCCTTCACGGAGCCTCCCCACCCCTTTATTTCCTCCTCCTTCCCCGCTAGGATGCAGACAAATGGGCCACAGGACAGGGTGGGGTACCCGTCCCCCCAAGACTAAGACCTTGGTGTGATAGGTTTGGATGGCAAATCATCGGAAGTCAAGAGAGCAGCAGCAGGTTCAAGCTGTGTTGCAAATCTTCCTAGATGACCCGCCCCTCTGGGCCTCAGTTTCCCCATCTCCAAAGCCAGGAGATCAGGCCATGAGGTAAGCATATGCCAAACCTCCATTTACTCTGCTGCCCGTAGTGGCTGATTGGGAATCTCTTCCCTCCTCCATTCGCAGTTCGTGAGGTTTCTGTGATCTAAGTCTAAGCCAATCAGTGTGCCGCATTCCCCTGGCCACAGGGACCGGGTGATGGATGGACACCTGGACCAATTGGGACCAATGAGACACAAACTTTTGCTGGGACCCCAGGGGAAAATAGTCTCTCACTCTTTCCTGCTGGATTTAAATGAGAGGCCATGCAAAGTTGGAGCTGCTGGGAGCCATGCTGCCACCAAGGGGAGGAGGGGGTGACTCTCTGAGAGTGGGAAAACGGGCCAGAAATGGAGAGAGAGGAGGTTGGTCCTGGTGACAATATTTGAGCCCTGGATCAAGCTTTACTTGAAGTTGGATTAGCTCCTGGACTGTCGAGTTACAGGAACCAAGGAGCATCCTTTTTCTTTAAGCCTGTTTGGGCTGGGGTTTCTGTTAGCTGTCATAAAAGTCCCTGCCTGGGAGTTCTGGTTCCATCGCTGAGCCCCCAGGGCTCTGTGTCAGGAGGCCCCTGGTGGCTCCCAAGACTCGCCAGGCGGAGGCTCTCCACCTCCCACTCACCTGGGTGGCCTGCAGGCCACTGACGAGACCCGGCTGTGGGGGCTGTTTCCTGGCATCGATCACAACCGCCAGCCCCTTGGCGTTACCTTCGGGCCTGTGGGTGGTAAACAGAGCTGGCAGTCTAGCTCGATGGCCTGGGGCTCCCCAGAGGGGAAGGACCTAGCGGAAGGCGAGGGACGCTGGCTGCGAGAAGCCCTGATTTATTGGCGAACGCTTCATCCTGCAAGACCGAGTCCCAGTGCCGTCCTCCGAGAAGCCCTCCTGATTCTTCTCCAGGCAGAGCCATCGCCCCTCCTCGGTGCTTCCGCGGTGCCTCCCACAGCCCTCGCTCAGGGCCCTAACGCTCCTAACCGCAGCCCAGCTGCAGCGGGGGAGTCGCCCAGCATTCACCGCTACTTTCGTCTGGGCAGAACCCTCATCCTGTTCAAGAATCCAACTCCCTCCACACAGCCACAGCCCCCCAGGAACTGGTTTCTGCTTGGCTGAGGCCAATAGTGATTCAATCCTCCTGGCTAATGATTGGTTTAGATGGGGGGGTCACGAGTCATATTTCTAGCCAAGGGGAAGTTGGGGGGCTTCTCAGAAAGACGTTTTCTCTTTTAAAAAGTTCTTACAGACAGAAATAAGGCAGAGACACAGAATGATAAATTTTCTGATCAGATAAAACATTTTGAATCAGAATGTCAGTTACTTGCAGCCCAAACACCCTGCCTGGTTCAGCCACAGGGCATGGAGCTTGCAGCGGGCCGCTGTTCGGTGATTACCTTAGGATGCCCAGAACTGACCTAATTGTTAAAATACCGATTCCTCGCCCACACCCCACCACCCCCATCCTCCCAGACAGCTGGCCAGCAGGGCAGGGTGGGGCCGGGGGATCGCTGTGGTTCCAGCACCCTTGGCCAATATGATGACCAGGCAGGTTTGGAAAATAACCCCCAACTGCCTTCAAGCCTTACAACCACCCAGTGCATAGACAAAACCAGAGGTGGCCCAGCGTAGGGGTGGAGCTATGGCACTGCCATTAGTATCCGGTGGCCTGGGCAAGTTATTTCATGTCTCTAAGTCAATTTAATAATAATAATACCAGCCCTGTGGGGCCACGGTGAGGACTAATGAGGTCACTAATGTAAGCACTCGGTGACTGCACAGAGTAAGGGAGAGGTTTTAATAAATATTTGCTATTATTACTATCCTAGAAGGGGAAACTGAGGCACAGAGAGGCGGAGTGGCAGACGGTGAGAGGAGGCTCTGGGAGGTGACAGCAGATCTCTGACTTTATGTCCTCACCTGCCCCCGGCTCTGCCTGCACTGGAACAGTGATTTGTTTCCCGACCTCTCTCTGCCCCCAGCCTGGAGACCCCTGAAGGCCAGGCCCGATGTGAGGAGCCTCGGGGTCCCCAGCGCCACACAGCACGAAGCTGGGCCCAGAGCCGGTGTCCAGCCAATGTGCGCCCAGAGCACAAGTGGAAAAACAAGCCCAGCACTCAAGATCCTAGTGTGCACTGCACTCGACAGTTCACTTTGCTCATTCCCCTTCGTCCTCATCACTTGGGACCCCACTTGGTGGTCAGAGCCCACTTGGTCACCCCCTGTTTTCAGGTGAGCCTCAGAGAGGGGCGGGTACTGCCCCAAGGTCACATAACAAGTTTGTAGGATTCCAGGGCTCTGTCTACCATGCTGGCCACTTCCCAGCACAGAAAAGGGGGCCCCATCTCCCCCTCAGGCCAGAAAAGCCACTCCACCTGGGACAAAAGCAAGAAAAATCTCAGTGGCCAGCAGGTGGCAGTGAAGGCTCCTGTGGGTTAGGGCACATGAAGAAGGTTCCAAAGGGTTCCATACATCCCTCCCCATCTCCCGCCAGTGGCAGACCTCTAGGTTGGATTGGGACCTGTTAGCCAGTCCTGAGTGACACCACCTTTGAGACTGCCCTGGCTGGGGGCTGGGTCCCAGAGGAAAAGATGGTGCCTCTTCCCCAGCCAGTCCAATGCGGGAAGTCTGCATGCTGGTGGGGGGTGGTGTTAGAAATCAGCCCGGGTCACTCATCACTCACACTTATTCTTTCACTCTCTCACTCACTCATTCGCCCTTTCCTTTTGTTATTGAACAACTATTTATAATTCAGATGACAGCTCAATTATCACCTCCTCAGGGAAGCCTTCCCCGATTTCCCAATTGAAATTAGCTGTCCCCCAACCCTTCTCGCGCTCCAACAGTGGTTCTCAAAGTGTGGTCCTGGGCCCAGCAGCACCACCAGGAAACTTGTTAGAAATGCAGATTTCCAGTGATGTGTTTTAACAGCACACCAGGTGATTCCGATGCACGCTCAAGTTTGAGAACCACCGATCTACAACATCCCGCTGTGTTCTTCACCACACTAACCCTCCCGAAAGCTGCTTGCCCAGGGTTTGTTTCTTGTGTACCCCCCATCTCTCCCACCAGCCTAACAACTGATGGCAGGGACCTAGCCTGCCCTGCCTTCCCCCAGATGTGGCTCAGGACCGGCTCTGTGAACAGACGACTGGATGGAAGGGTCCAGCTCCTCTCTGCTCAGTGCCTGGTCCAGGGCGCTGGGCCCAGGGGGTTGAGGTGGGAGTTGAGTGGTCGGGGTGGCCCAGACCCTTACCTGGGAATGGCGCACAGGTAGGACAGTAGCTTGGTGACCTCTGAGGCTGTGCACCACGGCGCCTCCCAGGCTGCTTCTGTCGTCGACAGCAGAAGCAGGGGCCGCCCGGCCCTGTCCCGACCGCCTGGAGGAGAGAGGGCAGCTGCACAGTGAGAACTTTGGGGGTGACCTCCAGGAAACCTCCTCCGTCGCCTTCAGACGCTCGCCCATAACGGCCCCTTTGCCTGGAATGCCCTTCCTCTCCTGCTTCTGCAAGCTCTGAACTCTTACCCATCCTTCAAGACCCAGCTCACAAGTCTCACCCTGAGAAGTCTTCCCCGAGTCTCTTCTCTGTGCAGAGGTGGCCTCCCCTCCTCTGGACCCCTCTATACAGGGCACCCTGGGAGAAGCTCATGGAATGAGCTCTGGGATCACACAGACGGGCTCAAGTCCCCGCTCTATACTGTCTCACTGTGTCCGTGGGCAAGTCAGTGCATCTGTGAGCCTCAGTTTCCTCATCTGTTAAATGGGGGGAAAATATACTGAGCTTATTAGGTTATTTGGAGGATTAAGTCAGATAGTTCCTGAGAAGCACATAGCACAGTGAGAGCTCAGTGCATGGCGGTTGTTACGATGTCCTCGTCTCTGTTCTCGTGGTGAGAGCGCAGCCCCGTGGCCAGCAGCTCCCTATTTATTTATTCTCACAGACTTGCAGACGTGGGTTCTCGGGTTCTCGCCAAGAATCTGGGCTTTGTGCCTCACTCTCCCCGCAGGGGTCATGAGGCCGGGCCATGAAGCCAGCACGGCCTGTCGTCTGTGCCGGGAGGGGAGAAGTACAGCCGGGGGAATGAGGCCCAGGCCTTGGAAACCGCGCTCGTCCTGTAGCCTGACTGTGCGGCCCTGTGGATGGCTGGATGGCTACCTAAAAATCGCTTGCATGTAATCCAACCCCTTCATTGGAAAGATGAGGAAACTGAGGCCCAGGGAGGCTTGGTCTGGACCGCAGGCCTCCAGTGCCTTCCCTGCCTCCCCTCTGCCCACCAGCATCTGAGGATGCTCTGGGACCCTCCAGCTCCCTCCCCCCACCCACTCTCCCCTCTGATCCCCAGAACCTGGCAGGCATGCTATCCTGGAGTGGAAAACCTTGACACTCGGAGCCCCGAGCCTGGGCTCAGGTCCTGGGGGCTCCTTATCCGGGGTGGGGCCTCTTTCTGGGGGGCCTGCAGAAGCTTCTGGAAAGCCAGTCTTTTCCCCAGTCAGTGGGGCTGAGTCAGCGGCTGGGCCAGAGGATGTTTTGGTCTGAGTTGCGCCTGCTGTGGGGAAGCAACGACAGAGAAAAGGATGTTGAGCAGAGGATGGATTTTCCACGTGGAGGATGTTTCCTCTTCCACTTTCTGGCCAAGCAGAACGGCCACGGCTCTCCTGCTGCGCGGCAGGCACCGCGCTGAGCTCCCTGCTTCTGGCATCTCTCGGAATCCTCAGAGTAACTCTGCGAGGTAGATGGGATCCCCACTGCACAGACAGGGGGCCTGGACTCAGAGAGGTTAAGTACTTGGCCCGGGTCACACAGCCCACGTGTGGTGACGCTGGGGTGTGAACTCGGGCTGTTGTGACACTCGATCCCAGACCTGCGAGACTTCGAGCCCCTGACATGCTGTGCTGCCGTCTGAAATTGCGCCAGCCCAGGTGGGCCTCTGTCCCCTACAACCAGAACCACCTTGTAACCTGATCTCATCCAGACAGGAATCCCCTCGGACGGCCGAGCAAGTGGGCGGCCTACCTTTCCCCGAGGATTTGGCTCGGTTGGGTTTAGGAGAGTAGAGTGAACACAGGACTTTCCAAGGTCCATCGTGCTGGAGCGAGGCTTTCTCTGGGGACACAGGGGATTGCCTCTGCCCTTTTAAGAATGAGAATTTGAGCCCAGGAGTGGGGGACCCGGAGGAGGAGGTGTTTCGACTAGGGCGGGTCATGGGCTTGGGAAGTCTCCCGTTTCCCTGCTTGGTCTTCTCTTCCACCTTTGTTTCGGAGATAGGAGCCGCAGGCGAAGCTGGGGACAGGCTGGGAGAGGAAGCTTGTCTTGGCACAGGCCTGAGCTGGACCACATTCTCTGACTTTCCCAGAGGGCCCTGTGTCTTGGTGGCAGCTGGCCCTTCTGAGACATCTGCCCCAAGGCCAGAGGCACAGTCCAGCGGGTCCTCGAGGACATTGACATAGGTCCCTTGGGGCACTGCCTTATGGTTGACGTCTCTCCTCAAGCCCCAAGTGCAGGTCTCCCCCTCTGAGCTTGCTGGCTCCACACAAGCCCATCTTCCCAAGGATGGTCCTTCACTGGCCTCCGACAGAGGCAGCATCTTTTGAGAGAAAGGAATTTCCCTGGTTCCAGATATCTCCTCTAGTGCCCCAGAAGTATTCCCGGTCGAAGTCTCTGCCTCCCTCCTGGGGCTGTCCCCTCTTCTCTCTCGGGAAACGTCCAGGAGAGCCACATAGTCTCCCTCCAAGTCCGGGCTGACCACATCGTCCACCCTGAAGGCCACCTCCCGGGACCTGGCTTGCTCCACCTTGACGAGGCCCGGATACTTGTTCCCACAGGTCCTGCCCCTACCCTCGGCCAAACCCTGGGCAAGAAACGCCTGGTCGTCTGGGCACCTGGCCTGGTGCAGCTCTTGAGGGCTGCTCAAATCCAGTGCCTCTAATTGAAGGGACCCCCAGGCTGGGGAAGGGACATTCACTGCTTGGGGCCTGTCATCCACAAACTCTGGGCTGGTTATCTTGGTCCAAGGGAGAGGGGCAATCCCATTTTCCGAAGCTACCAGGCAGTTGCGTAGGGGACTTCCCTCAAAGTCGTTGTTGATGGCCTCCAGCCATTCTTGGGTGAAAAGTACAGAGTAGGATGATTCGGGAACAGGCTTCTTGTCCACTGTGCAGAGGTCCAAGGAGAGGCATTTGATGGTGATGCAGACAGACTGCTCCTCCTGGGGCTCGACTTGGAGGTAGAAGTCACCCTGGCGCAGTAACAGGGGATTGAGGGGTGCCAGGTGGACCACAACCTCATCCCGCAGACAGAGCGGCCAGCCCTCGTGCAGGAAGAGGCAGTGTGAGTAGGGGGCCTGTGGAGAGAAGGGGTTGGCATCAGAGAATCTGGCCCCGAAAGACTCCAACCTTGGACCTGCTTCCTTCCCTCTCCCAGATGGAATCTCGAACAGGTCGGGGACGAGGGTGAGGCAGTATTTGAGAGGCCCTCACTCTCTGGGTGGTGCAAAGGTTGCCTCTCTTGCCTCACCCCAGTCCTGGCCCCGACCTTGAAAATACTGGCTGGCCTGCTGGCCTAAGGGAGAAAGCTCAGAGCTCCAGGCACTAGTTAGCGAGCATCTCCCCCATGAAGAGCTCTTTCCCCCCTCTCCCCACCTATCCAAAATGTCTCCCACCCCAGCTCAGGACTTAGCCCACTATTTTAAAGCCAAGGAGACACAGGTTTGGACAAAGGTCTACACTTGTGCAAAGTTACTTAACGCTTTGAGCCTCAATTTTCCTATCTTTAAATGGGAACAATATATGTCAGTATTACTGGATTGGCATGAGGATTAAGTGAGATTATACAGATGCTCCTCAATTTACAATAGGGTTATATTACATCCAGATAAACCCATCCTAAGTTGAAAATATCATAAGTTGAAATGCATTTGATATACCTAACCTATAGAACAGCGTAGCTTACTTAGCCTAGCCTAGCTTAAATGTGCTCGGAACACTTATATTAGCCTAAAGTTGGGCAAAATCATCTAACATAAAGTCTATTTTATACTAAAAGGTTGAATATCTCATGTAATTTATTGACTGCTATACTGAAAGTGAAAAACAGAATGGCTGTTTGAGTACTTGATGTATAGTTTCTACTGACTGTGCATTGCTTTCACACTATCATAAAGTCAAAAGGTTGTAAGTTGAACCACTGTAATTTGGGGATAATACATAAAGAACCCAATACAACGCTTAGCATGTAATAGGTAGATGCTCAATAATTATTAATTCTCTCTTCCTTGGACAACATTCACCCTTTGAAAAATTGTGGGGATTTTCAATTAAAAAAAGATAATTTACTGTTTTCATATCATTCTCTAATTTTTAAGTAGAGGGGTTAACGATGAAGTGGAAACAATAGTGAATGAGAACTCAGGAAATCTGACCCTGCCATTTATTTACTAGATGATCTTTCACCTTTTCCTGACCCAAAAGTCATTCTGGGCCTGAATGTTTACTATTTATTTGTTTATTATTTATTCATTTATTTATTTCCCCTCAGAGGGTAACAACATGGCAGGTGAGGCAAAACTTTTAAAAATTAAAGAGAGAGAGAGAGGGAGAGAAGATGCCAGCAATTCCCTGCACAGGCAGACACAGTAAATCATTCTAGAACAGGCTTTAACTGCGGTGATCCCTCTGGGCTGAGCCTCTGCACTGGGCTGCACAGGACCAGAGTCCAACAGTGACACCACGTGGCAGCAACAGAAACAGCAGTTCCGCTGGGTTGACAATAGGTCTTTGTCTACCCAGCTTTTGGAAAGGAGTCTGAGTCTCGTGGGCTGAATAAATCCCAGACAATCTTACATATTCACAATTTGGATGTGTGAGTGGGAGACCTCCGGAGAGTGACTCCTGCCAAATAAACAAGTGTTTCCTGGAATTATTAATTAAGGAAATGGTAAGATCTGACCATATTTGTACCCCACACTGTTAAAGCCATTCGTATCAGTTACACTGGAGATTGTGCTGCCTCGGGAAAGCTTCCTATCTACAAGCCCTCGTGAGCCTGTGAGTTCTTCCACCCCTTCCATGCAGACCACTATGGTTTGCAACATGCTTTACCCCTCACCTTCTCATCGGAGGAGAAAAAAACAGCCCAGCCATTTCCTTGCAAACAGCGAAGCGCCCTAGAGATGACAGCTAGGATCATCTCCTCTGACTCACAGTAACTCAGGGGTGCAGGCAGCACAGGTGTGATTATTCTGACTTTCCGGACGAGGAAGCTGGGGCTCAGAAAGGTGAAATATTTGGCTCATACGCAAATAGCTGGTAAGTGGCAAAAGCGGGACTTGTCCCTAGGCCTTCACGCCTGAAGTCGGGTCTGTTCCCAAGCCCCACTCGGCTTCCTCTGAAGGCGGCTGCCTGTAGGTGATGGCAGCTGGAGAGGCAGATTTGTGGCTGCCGCATTTTCCTTTCAGAGGGACAAACAAGGAAATGGTATCATAGTAGCCAACGGCTACTGGGCACTTGCTGTGTGCCAGATTGTGCTAAGCCATGTGTCATTTCTGTGCACTAGATGCTGTTATTAACTTTCCCACCGGACACATAGGAAAGGGAAGCTCAAAGAGGTGGCGTGGATCTCCCACGTTCACAGTGAGGAGGCTGGATTTGAACCTGCGGCACCTGACCCCAGAGGCCACACTGTTAATCCCACGTTATTCTCCCCTGCTCCAAGGGGACACAAATTTGCCTGTAATTACAATTAAATTAAATTCACCTTTAAAAAAAATAAAGATGTGGAAAGGCTATGAGCTTGTCACCAGGAGAAGTGAGGAAGGGGGCAGAGCAAATGTGGTTTTAATGGTCAAAGAAAGGAAGTGGGCAGTTGTGTGACTTGTCAGGGAGAAGAACTAAGGATGGGGGAGGATCTCCATGAAATAACGCCAACCCGGATGTGTGGAAGTTGGGTGCAAACATTTGCGTAAGAAGCTCCCCTCTTCTACAATACCAGTTCCTGTGTATCGAGCTACTTCTGTGAGCCAGGCACTGTGCTAAACAAGTTAAATGGATGATCTTGCTTTCCTTCTGTTCCAACCACCCCCAATTCTGGCTCCTAAACTTGAACTCTTAGCTGCCACCTTCAATTTCTTTCTACCAATGAAATGACACACATGGTCCCCACCATTACTTTTTGCCCCTGATGAGCTATGTCCCTGACAGGCATGTCCTGAGCGACTCAAGAAGGGCTGATGGGGCCTAAGAACCTCTTCGTGTGTGTTGAGCCTGGCGTGGCGGGGGAGTGGGCGCTAAAGCACAGCAGATCACGGAACAGCCAGCAAACCTGTGAAAGGTATGGGCAAGTTCCTCCAGGGTTTGTCTCCTCAGGCTTCTCCCATCCTTTTCTTAAAACAGTTCCACCCTAGGCCGGGCGCGGTGGCTCACGCCTGTAATCCTAGCACTCTGGGAGGCCGAGGTGGGGGTGGATCGCTCAAGGTTAGGAGTTCGAGACCAGCCTGAGCAAGAGCGAGACCCTGGCTCTACTAAAAAATAGAAAGAAATGATCTGGACAACTAAAAAAATACATATATAGAAAAAATTAGCCGGGCATGGTGGCGCACGTCTGTAGTCCCAGCTACTTGGGAGGCTGAGGCAGAGATTGCTTGAGCCCAGGAGTTTGAGGTTGCTGTGAGCTAGGCTGACGCCACGGCACTCATCTAGTCCGGGCAACAAAGCGAGACTCTGTCTCAAAAAAAAAAAAAAAACAAAACAGTTCCACCCTCTGACCATAGAAGTAGACACATGACTCAAGCCTGGGCAATCCTGGTACCCCATTCCTCTGGCTACAGTGATTGGTCAAGGAATGGACATATGACCCAAGTCTGGCCAATCAGGATTCTTCCTTGAGATTTTTTTTCTATCTGCAGCTCATGGGGAAGAGTTCATTTTCCTCTCCAGGGCAGGAGATAATCCTAGAGCTTCCCTAGGCTCCAGCCTTGGGGGAACACTTAGCCTGCAAGAATGATGCTGACAAGCAGGGAGAAGCAGAGAAAACAGACAGTGTCTTCAAGGGCTTTGATCAGTGGATCAACTCAAGTCTGAGGCCTGATCCCCCCTGCCCTAGTCTGAGTGAGAATTCTGTCATTTGCAGCCAGTGAGTCCTGCCTAAAGCAGTTTTTTCTCCACTTGGCTGCAGGAGAGGCCTCCTGGAGATCTGAGTTTGAAGGGGGTCACTGGGGAAAAGGCAAGAGTCCTGACACCTCAGGGCTTCCAGGGGAGCTCTAGGACATTCTCTGCTATTTACACTGAAGCTGCCCCACTTCAGCAAAGGCAACGTGGCGAGGCCAATGGTGCCAGCCCCAGGGCAGGCTCCCAGGGCCAGGGAACCCCCAAGGATGCCGCTATTCAGGTCTTCCTCCCTGCCAGTGAAAGTGCAAATGTAATTGACTCCTAGATGTCACAGGGTAAAGGGCCAAGTGGCCCTCCTGCTCCATTTGGGGGGCTCATGTCTCTCTTTGGGCAAATAATGATACTTGGAAAACCACTCACATCCCAACTCTTCCTGGGAGATAAGACACACACCAGCCCTCTTTCTTCCCCGCTTGCCTCCAGCCCTGTGACTTCTGGGAGAGCTTGTCCCCTGGCCCCATATCCCTCCCGACTTACACAGGCTGCTTCACGCACTTGCTCACACAGGCGCTTGGCAGGGATCAGGAAATCCAGGAGGAAGCTCAGCCCATCTCCCTGGAAGTCAGAGTCCAGGAGACGGAACACCTGATCCAGGACAGTGGGTGCTGTGGCCTCAAAAGGAGGATAGAGGCCTGCCAGGGCGTGCTGGATGGCCGTGTCCAGGGATGGGGGGTCCTGTGGGGGGCAGAAGGAGAGGACGAAAAGTAACAGTAGCCATAATAGTGAGGGTAATGTCTACTTCCTGTGACTGTCCAGGCCCCATGTGACTAAGGCCCCTGCTAACTCTCTGATCCCCTCTCTACCCTGTCCCCTCACTCACCCACACTTCCACCCACACTGGCCTTCTTTCCTGTTCCACAAACACACCAGGCATGGTCTCACCTCAGGGCCTTTGCACTGGCTGTTACCTCTGCCTAGAGTACTGCTCCTCAAGACAGCCTCATTCCCTCACCTCCTGCAGGTCTCTGCCCACATGTCATCGGCCAGTGCAGTGAGGAGTGGAGCAATGTGGGGAGGCATTCAGGTCAGGGTCAAAGGGGAAGAGGAGGTCAGCATCACCCAAATCCCACCACCTGGCTGACCTGCAGACCTGCGGCAGGAAGCTGAGCCACCAGTGAAGCCCAGCCTGGATCAGACACCCCCAGTCCACGTGCAGACGGGTGAGTGACAGGAAGTGATTGCCATTTTATAACACTGTTTTTGGGGTGGTTTGTTACACAGCAATAACTAGCTGATACAAGTCCAGAGAGCCTCCTCACATATCCAGCTGCCCCTTGGTACCTCCTTCTAGATGTTTCTCAGGCACTGGCCATCAACACATCAAACCCAACCCAGCAACTTCCCAAATCTGTTCCTCTCCTATGCCTACCAGTGATGGCCCCACCACTCAGTCAGGCGCCTAGGCCAGAAATCTGCTCAGCACACTGCCCTCCCCTGCCTCTGACACACGAGCATCCCTAGTTCTAGACTGCTCCTCCCGCCAACAGCTCCCTAACCCACGTGCTCTCTCTGTCCCCTGCCCCGCCCTGATCTAGGCCCCCACCATTTCTTCCATGGGATGCCCTCCTCTTTGGCTCCCACCCTCTCGTCCTCCTCACGCAGCCACTCTCCTCCAGGACCCCAGAGTGACCTTTCTCAAATGCAAACCCGACCTCATCCGTCTCCTCAAGAAGCAGTGGCCTCCAGGCGTCCAGCTGTCCTGTGCTCTGGCCACCGCTCTCTGCCACTGCCACCGCCCCGGCCTCACTGCCTCTCTCTGAGCTGCAGCCACAGTGGCACCTGCCTTCTCCGGCTTGCCCCAGGCCCCCGTGTATGCCTTCCGTTTCCACTCCCTCCTCACCTGCTAGCTCCTCACTCCTCAAGACTCAAGTCAGCCCTCACTTCTTCCAGGAGGTTTTCTCTGACCTCCCGCTGCCCCCACCCAGCAGGGTCAGGTGTCCCCTTCTCTGGGCTGCTGTAGTGCCCCTATCATAGCAGCTCCCACATTGATTACTGTCTCCCTCGGGGAGCTCCGTGCTCCCCAAGGGCAGCTGTAGTAGGCAGAACAGCCCCCAAAGGTACCCACATCCTGTCTCTGGAACCTACGATGTGTCACCTCGCATGGCAAGAGGAACGAAGTTCGCAGGTGGAATTAAGGTTGCCAATGAGCTGACCGTGAAACAGGGAGGTTATCCTGGATTAGCCAAAGGGGGCCAGTGCAATCCCGAAGTAGAAGAGGACGCAGAAGAGGCCAGAGTTAGGGGAAACGTGACTACGGAAGCAGGATCAGAGAGACGCAGTGCTGCTGGCTTCGGACATGAAGAGCCAAGGAACAGGGCGTCTCTTAGAAGCTGCAAAGGCCAGCAAACGGATTCTCTCCCAGAGCCTCCGGAAAAGAGCATAGCCCTGCCAAGGCCTTGCTCTTAGCCCAGTGAGACCTGTGTTGGACTTCTCATCTATTTCTGATCTGCAAGATAGGGAATTTGTGTTGCTTTAAACTACTAAGTTTGTGATAATTTGTGATGGCAGCGACAGAAAACAGATACAGCAGACGACAGCACCTATTCCTCTCTGAGTCCTCAGTACCCGGCACGGGGCCTAGCACAACATCAGTACTCAGTAAATTTTGTGAAAGAATGAACAAAATGTCCCTCTCTGAGCTACAATTTTTCCGTCTGTCAAATAGGCAAGTTGGACAAGGCAGAGGTTTCCAACCAAGTACAGTACTGGGTCCATGGGCCACGGGCCTGAACAGAGATGCCCCAGACAGCTTGCAAGCTCTGAGTACATCTGTCGCTGAGGGGTGCAAAGGGAGATGAGAATAAATAAAGACTCGACATAAAGGGAGCTTGTCTAGAAGGGAAAAATCATTTTACAAAGGCAGGGAAATAAAACTGGGACTATGAGGAGGAGGGGGATGGCATTTCTCAATCCTAGCAAGATTCCAGCGCCAGGAGGCTGCAAACAGAGGAACAAGGCTCACTCCCGCCTGTGGCCCACGCAGTGCTCCGCACAGGCTAGGCCTCCATCACTATTTCTAGAAGGAAGGAGTGAAGGAATGTCTGTAGCCACATTCTGAAGGAAAGAGGGTCCTGGCACTGCCATGGCGGTGAGCTCAGAAGGGCTGATGTACTGACAGGCACCTGCAGAAAGTGCACGTGCGTGCCCAGGAGGGGCTGTTCTCCCCGTGAGGTGGGGAGAGGGGTCTTCGACTTGGGAGAACATGGAGAGGCTCATTTGGCCTGGGGTCCTCTTCCATCCTCCCAGCCCCCGGCAATCAAGGTCAAACCCCGACATTTCCCACCCCAAGCAATCCTGGGACAGTGGCGCATCTGGCTTCCTCCCCACTGTGCAGCCTCCAGTATGTCCCTTCCCCCTTGGGGCCTCTTCCTTCGTGTGCGGATTGGGCTGGGCTAAGCTTGTTTAGTTTTGTTTTTGGACATGACTGAGACTGGGGGAGATAATACGTATAAGCTCTCTGCACAGGACTAGCATTTAGTAGGTGCTCATTCCGTAATAGCTCACTGCTATTTTTATGGTTGTATTGTAGTTATTACCTCACTACCATAAATGGAAAAATCAGTGTAAACTGACAGAAATAGAATATAATTCCAAAAATAATGATGTGTGGGGTAGTTTTTATAATATTATAAATATATTTTTATATTTATTATATATTTATGATTATAATAACTAATTATAAATCATGTATAAGTCTACATTTATATAAATAATGTAATATGTGAATATATAATACATATTTATCATATAAAATATATAGTTTTGTTTTGGTTTTTTTTGAGACAGAGTCTCACTCTGTTGCCCTGGCTACAGTGAGTGCCGTGGTATCAGCCTAGCTCACAGCAACCTCAAACTCCTGGGCTCAAGCAATCCTCCTGCCTCAGCCTCCCAAGTAGCTGGGACTACAGGCGTGCGCCACCATGCCCGGATAATTTTTTCTATATATTTTTAGTTTTCCAGCCAATTTCTTTCTATTTTTAGTAGAGACGGGGTCTCGCTCTTGCTCAGGCCAGTCTCGAACTCCTGAGCTCAAACGATCCTCCCGCCTCGGCCTCCCAGAGTGCTAGGATTATAGGTATGAGCCACCACACCCGGCGCTAAAATATATTTTATTTTACTGTTTTATTTTTTTACAGAAATAAACTACTTTTTAAAAGAAAAGTAAACGATGAAAACAAATAGTGCCATTAAATTCTGGGGACATCTGGTCACCTTCTGGAGGCTTGGGAGGTCCTCCATCTTTCTCTCTCCCAAATCGAGACTGCCATGCATTATGAGAAAGATATTAAAGACATCTTACCACCAAAGGAAGGCTTGGGTCCACAGAAGATCAGAGAATTCAAAAAGTACTGACTCTCTCGCCACATGGTTCCATGTCATTTAGTTCCAGACTGTGACATCGCTTGTGTCCTAACTATGGTCTGCATCCCAACCTCTAGGAAGCAATGGGTTAAACCATCTCTGCCTTGGCCTGCCTCAGTTTCCCCATCTGCACATAAATGGGGATCTAGTTCGTACCCTGCCTCACTCAGATGATTGTCCTAGAAATACAGGAGATGATGGCTGTAGAGGGTCTTGGGAAAAGTAAAAGGTGTTGCTGCTACTGTTATTGTTATTTATTTTTACTCATCCATCAAACAAAGTTCAAGTCCCGGCCTCTATGTGAAGACATCATCCCTCTCCCAGTCCCTTCCTGAATCCACTCCCGTCACCCAGGCAGCTGCTGTGTGCCAGGCCCGCTACTCACATTCTCTTGCTGAGCCCACACAATGATGTCAAGGGCTAAGCAGGAACAGCCATTGGCTGGGTGTGGTGGCTCAGGCCTGTAATCCCAGCACTTCATGAGGCTGAGGTGGGAGGATCACTGGAGGCCAGGAGTTCAAGACTAGCCTGGGCAACATAGCCAGACCCTGTCTCTACAAAAAAAAATTTTTAAATTAGCCAAGCATGGTGCTTTGCATCTGTAGTTCTAGCTACTGGAGAGACTGAGGCAGGAGGATCACTGGAGCCCAGGAGTTCGAGGCTGCAGTGAACTATGATTGCGCCACTGCACTTCAGTCTGGGTGACAGAGCAAGACCTTGTCTCTAAAAAAAATAAATGAATAAGAAAGAAACTGAGGCTGATCTTGCCCAAGATCACAGAGAGGAGGAGAAAGACAGAGTTGGGATCCAACTCAGATCTGGGCCAGCCACATCTGCCCTCCTTGCCTGCCCCCTGCTGCCTCCCCTGCCTGGGGCCCACCAGCCTGGGGACTGGCCTGCCCAGCTGCCTCCCCTTCCCTGCTTCTAGTGGGGCCTAGAGAAGCTGTTTACCTCGCGCAGAGCAAGTCTCATAGACTGGGACGGCCTTGGCTTCCACAAAATTGGCTCAGTTTGCCACACACTGTTACCATTTAAGGGGCAGCCAGTAAAAAGGAAGAATGTTCCGAGTTAACAGGACTCCGTGCTCTTGGCCAGCGCATTACCTGCTGCAGGCCTGAACTCCAGGGACTCATAAACTGTCCAAGAATTCAAGGAAGCAGCACACGGTGAAGGGGGCCCTGGAGGTTGCAGGAAGGAACGCGGGCCACCCTTATTCCCAATCAACCAGGCAGCCCAGCCTGGAACCACAGGAGCCCAGCGCCAGACGTGGGCCCCTCCAAATGATTCCCGTGAAACTTAATAGACGTGTTTCCATTCCTTCCCGGTGAGCGCAGCCCAGCCTGGCTGGGCCTTTAATTGTTCCTTGACAGGGGCCAAGGCAGGAGACAGCGGTGTGCGGCTGGGAAGGAAGGAAGGGGGACGAGCCCAACATCCCTCCCCTGCACCCAGCGCCAGAGAAGGAGCCCACAAGGGGACAGGCAGAACCGGTCCGCATCGCTGGCCCTATGGGATGCTCATGACCTTCTGGACTGACATGGGGAGCCTTGGATGGTGCCAAGGGACATAGAAAACTATCTGTTCACCATGGCTATGTCTGGGCAATGTCTTTGCAAAGAGCCACTGTTGTTATTATAATCTTCAGTATTATACTTATTAAGTAAAATAAACAAATGTAAAGTGTACAGGTGGATGCCTTTTTACCCATGTACCCAGTAAGTGTGCCTGTCACCACTTGCCCAGATCAACAGACAAAAGATTGTCACCATCCCAGAAAGAGGCCCCCTAGGAGTACCTACACTTCTGAATTTTTTTTTAAACTTTCATACACTATGACCTATAGTACACATAAAAACACGTAGAAGTCTAGAAAAAAGTCTAAGTCAACATTAAATAAAGTGTTAACTACAGTTCCCCCTGAGTGTTGTGAGGGGCAGGGGCCTCTTAAGGCAGCTTTTAAATTTTCTTCGTAGTTTGTTGGATTTTCCAAACATTCTGCAATGTAACCAGCTTGTATAGCTTTTATAATCAGGAGGGAAAAAAAATAAAAGTGTGATTGTGTGTGTTTTTAAGGCTGGTTCCCTTTTTAAATGGTCTCACCAGATGTCATTAGCTCGATCTTCTGAGAAGTGGACCGAGCTTTTCTTAAAGGTCCAGATTTATCTACTTATTCCAACAGGCGAAGCTTGGAGCATCACTGAGCATCGGCCGCCTCCTTGCTTGGGAAGACAGAGCACTGCCAGAAGCCAAGGTGGGCGGGGTCCTAGGGCTGCCTTGAACCCCTGCTCTGCTCTGTGGGTGAAATGCCTAAGGAAGGTGACATTCTGCCCCTGACTCGCTGGGTGAACTTGGCCTCAGTTTCCCCATCTGTGAAAGGAAGGTACTGGCATATCTATCTCCAAGGCGCCTTCCAATGGGGACATTCTAAAATTCAAAGTATGATGAGGTTCAGGAAGGTTTGGAGCTTGGATGTGGTTTCTGAAGGGGGTCAGTTAATTCTCAGTTGATGAGAAAGTTTAAAAAGATCTGTCTCATCCATCTTCGTGTCTCAGACCCAGGGAGAGTCTAAACTAGCAGTCACAGATACAAATGTCTTCAAGGGCCTGACAGGTGACACGGAAGAGAGGAATTGGCCAAGAGTAAGGAAGCAACCCCTTCAGTCCCTGGGTGGGTGGATCCTGATAGCCTCAGCATGGAGGATGCAATAGGGAGGAGTGAGGCTTGGGGCTCACACCCCATCTCATCAGCATCAGCCATGTGTTGCTTTGGCTCAGCATTGCCTGATCTACTGATTTTTTAGTAAAATCTCCTAACTTTTTAAAGGTTGGCCAAACCAAACACGTCTGCGAGCCAGATACAGCCCAGCGGGTGTCAGGTTGTGACCTCCAGTCTCAAGTACCTGGGACACTCCCCCCGAACTTCTCCAGACTAGAGATTCTGAAACCAGCATTCCGTTGCTGCCAGGAAGTTCTTATTCACGTCCAACTAAAACCTCTTGCTTTAAGTCCTTTTTATTTTTGTGTGGGTGGAGGTATGAGCGAGAATTGGCTCCTTATTAAAAAAAACCCTTTCAGAAACTGGAAAAACAGCCCAGATGCAGTGAACTGAGAAGAGGGTGGGCGTCAGAAGACCCACGTTCAAGGCCAGCTCTGTCATGTATCCTCTGCGTGACCTCCAGCAAGTCACTTCCCCTCTCTGAGACTTAATTTTGCGTCTGTTCCTGTCTTTCCCTCTCCCCTTTGCCTCTGCCCTGGGACTCACCGTGTCCCACCCAAACCACACGGTGGTAATGATTGTAACTAGAGCTCTTCCCACTGAGCAAGTCTTGTGGTTGGGCCTGTACAGGCGGAGCACTT